CATTCGTGGAAAACATTTCTTATTCTCTATTCATTCAAGTATCACCTACTCAAAAAAACAACATGACTACAAACACAAATGATACATAGTATTGCAACGATACTCACATTTATGTTACAAACTTGGCAGCCCTATGGTCTCAATATATATGGCATACAAAAACAAATGTGCTTCAATGTGTTTTGAATGTAATAGACTTGAAAAACAAATGTCTGGCAACATTCATTCAGTAGGAAGTTTTTCCACAGCCATCAACATTATTTTCAGATATCGTTGTGTCTTATTCCAAACCTTGATCAGTGAACCCCATGCAGAAAAGATGATGTCATCTCCAAACATGTCCACCAACACAAATTTAATAATATCCAATACTACGGTAGATCCAAATTGGCACAATAAAAACAGTGATGTGGTGCATAATATAGTCAGACTGTGAATAAATACATGCCATCACACAGCTCAGTCACCCAATTGTTGACAAGCTGGTTATACGGTAGTTTACTCCACCGGTATTCCTGAAGTGCAGTCTTATTAAACTGTAACCTATACATATATGGTATGATGTTGCCTCATGTGTAAGAAGTACAATGTTGCCTCTGTAGAAGGTACAATATTGTGACATGCCTCCTGCATTTCCATTATGTATGATATTATTTCTACATTCGTTGCAGACTAGTGAAAGGAGATGGTGAGATTATAGAAGAAATCGTCAGTAAAGAAAGGCACAAAGAAATTTGCAAGGTAAACCATGGATACCCTGCATTGAATGTTCATGATGTCGCTCATTATTAATTTCAAAATAAAATGTTTCACTAGGTGTCATACCTGTGTTGTACCCTGGCGATTAAGTTATATTCATTCTGAGCAATAAATTGAATCTACTTTATAATCTGAGGCATATGTAACAATTTTGTTTTGATTAATTTGTCTTCTGAATCTGTTTTCTTAAACAAAAATGTTTTAGAGTGACAGCCCAGAAATCAATGTAGGTATACCGTACTAGAAGGTTACCCACTGCACACCTGGTCAGCATTTTAATCAGTGATGATTGGTCGATTTAATGTCCACCATATGTATAAATTTGAATATAGTACATACTGTAAAATGTTTTATTTTAGCTGGATTTAATTTTTGCTGAAAAGACTTTTTGGGTGTTTTGTAATTATAATAATAATTATCTTTATTGCGTTTGTATCCCTATTAGGATTTTGACTAAAATGCAATACAGATGTGAATAAAGACAAACAAACAATTAAAGTGAGAATAAAAATACACACAGGAAAAAATAAAAAATAAAAAACAACTAGCAAATAAAAGTACAAAAAAAAAAATAATGGTAAAGTACATTGGATTGTTTTCCACGTTTGTGTTGGTGAATGTTTAGATTACTATTGCATGTACATGACTTTATCTTGAGATAGTTGACTATAATGTTTTCAGTTTTTCCTCTATTTATTTTGCTATTTGTATTATTGTTTTCTCATCTTTATTATTTAAAATATATTTTAATTTTTCTTTATTGTTTGCTAGATGTGGGGGTGATAACAGCTGATAAAGTTTTTTTCTTTCTCCCGCGTAGAGATCACATGTTAAAAGAAAATGTTCTTCGTCCTCTATGGCGTTATTTTCATAACGTAGACATTTTCTGTCAGATATATCTGTGTTGTTATATCTCCCAGTCTCTATTTGTAGTCCGTGAGCACTCATCCTCAATTTTGTCATTGATGACCAGTGATGAGTATTTTTGACTACGTGTAAGTAGTTTTCGAAACCAAAGTCTGTTTTCAGTTTTCTATAAGTGCGCAATTTATTTTTGTGATTTTTGTGATTTTGTGATTTGTTATCATTGTCTAAAATCTGTTTACAATTTTTTTCAAACTTTATCTATATTTACATTGTTCGCATTTTGCTTTTTTTCTTCCTGCCACAAATGGTCTATATCTAGATCTTTAAGTATAAATTTTAACCCAGAAACCCAGTTGTAGGTGCCAGAGTTGTCTAGTTCTAAGCCGAGACTGTATGATTCTTATACCAGAGAATTGTCAAGCATTTTATTTATTTGAGACCAGTATTTGATCATCTGTTTTATCCCTGTTGTAAATAATGGATACCTTGCTAATTCTAAAAGACATGCCACATTGGTTATTTTCACTGATTATTGACAAGTTGAATGTAAAATATAAGAAAAAAGCTATA